ACCATGGGCCCGAGGCACCGAGCTCGGCAGCGACGCACCCGGCTCATTTAATCTATTCAATTGGATTCAATTTCCAGGCACTTGATTCAATTAGCCCTGGAGGGACAGCGCGAGCAGAGCGCTGGGGTCGGACAACAGCAGGCGCCTGCGTTCCAGCGGGAAGGAGATGGAGGGGGCAGGTGCCAGCCCACCCTTGGACGGGACCCAGACACAGTGCCCCTGCCGAAGGCCCCGGGGAGGCAGACACAGCACGGCAGGCCAAGGGCAGCCCTTGTCTTTAGGGCTGGAAAGTCTTGGGTTCAAATCCTGCAGCCAGGCACGGAAACGCCCAGCACTGACACAACAGTGCAACCTGAGGGGGGTGCTGCCCTGTAGCGGGAGACAGAGCCGCTGCCCCAGCCGGCTCCTGTCCAACCCCCTCTCCCTACAGCCAGCTCCTGCACACCCCCAGATGCTGCAGGGGAAGCAGACGTGGGCTGGGACACAACCCGAGACGATGGTTTCACCACCTAACTTTTCAGTGTGAATCATCTCAGCGTGGTGCAAGTGACTGGACAGGTAAAAGGCTTCAGCCAGCCAGGGGAGGGTTAAGGTGACCGTGTCCCTTTACGTAGGAGACGGGCTGTTGGCTGGGACAACACAACCTCGTCATGTTGGTACAAGCATCCTGGAGCACACCCATCTCTGGGTGTCTGCCTAGGGACTGGAGGTGAGAGAGAGAGACAGAGGGAGACACCCCCACAGGGGCTGGCTGTGACACACACACACACACACTCAAACACACACCTACACGTCATGCACACCCAGGGACTGACTGTGACACACACCTCATGCACATCTGGGGACTGGCTGTGACACACACACACACAAACACACACACACACAGGCTGTTCCACACACACAGGGACAGATTGTGACATGCAAACACAGGGACTGGCTCACACACACACACGGACTGATTGTGGCACACACACCTCATGCACATCTGGGGACTGGCTGTGCCACACACACACGGACAGATTGTGACATGCACACACAGGGACTGGCTGTGCCAGACACACACACACACATCACACCCTGTGTCTGGGCTGCCCGCCTGCTGGCCCCCCAGAGCAGTACAAACAGAGCACGATGTTACTGCACAAGCCGGCGCAGAGAGAGACAACAGGGCCCAGAGGAGAGGAAGTTGGAATAAACAGCGAGGCATTAGTGCCGACGCGCAGATGGAGAGCGGCTCGCTGGTGCCAAGCGTGAGCCATAAATCTCGCCTTCAGGCTGCCCCCGCGTGGCAGGAACAATGGCCCCAGGCCCCCGCGACGGGCCTGCCTCGGGGGCTAGCTCGGAGCAAGGGGAGTCCGTGGCAGGCTGGCCCCGGGGCAGCAAGGACACGCGCCCCGTTCATCCCGCTTTGGGTGCCAACAGCTCGGCCCGGCTCCTTGGCCCATCCCCAGCACTGCAGCCGCTCCCGGAACCAGAGCCGGTCCGAGCCGCAGCCTGGGCGTGCGGAGACGCAGCTGGCTGGCTGTGTGAGCGCTAACGAGCCAGGGCCCAGCGGGCAGGGGCGTTAGGGGCTACTGTCGCCCGGCCCTTCCAACCACCTGGAAACTCAGGCCTTTCCAAATGCTCCTAACGTCCGTGGGGAGGGGTTAACTAATGCAAACCAGGCATGCTGAGGCCAGCAGGTCCCCGAGGTGAAAGGCCAGTGGCCGGGCAGGCCCAGCGTCCTGGGCGAATTGGGACACTCCTGCCAGCCAGGTGGGGCCTGGGAGAAGAGCCGAGCCTCAGCAGGACGCTAGGAAGGTGCCTGTGAAATTCCTCTTCCTCCTCCTCAAGGCTTGGAGAGCAGTGCACCGGGGCAGCTCCCCGCTCTCCTCGTCCACGGGCACCCACTGCCGAACGGCGCTGCCCAGCTGCTCCCAACGCGCCGTGTGCAGAACGCGCCCGCCGGCTTCCCCCGCGCTTGCCTCTGCTCCACGCTGGGGTTTCTAGAGCCCTTCGATCGATGGCCAGTAGCCCGGCGCCGATGGTCTAACCGGAGCCCCTTCCCACTGGCACGCCTGGGCCTGCTGTGGGCTGTGCCACACAGCCACTGTGCCACGGGCCTGCAGACCCTCCCCCCGCACACGGGCAGGGCAGTCACGCCCAACAGGAGGGAACGTTCCCGCGTCCCACCGAGCGAGGTGCCTGCTGATCGCGCCCTGCTCTGAAAGCGACGCAGCCGCCGGACTCCCCGGTAGCCGGAGCCCCCCTGCGCTGGCCTGACAGACTCCACAAGGAAGAGCCAAGCCGGCCACCTCGGGCCCCCAGGCAGCAACCCAGCAGCGCAGCGGGTGGACAGACACTGTTCACCCCAGCAGGCTCTTGGCACGTTACTAGGCCCCATGACATGCCCTGGATTTGAACTCCAGCGCCTCTCGCCCACGTAGCTACCCGGAGCTGGGAGGGGCGAGCCGAGGCGCGTCACCGCTTCGGGGGAGCTCCGCTTATCGGTCCTTGGAGAAACGATTTCCCCCAAGGCAGAATCAGCGCCAGCTGGACTGCCCCAGTGCCCCTGCCATTAGCTGCTCCCTGCTCTAAGCAGCCACAGCCTCGTGTTCGAGATCTGCGCCAGGCGGCAGGAGAGGGGCCCGATGCTGTCCCATGGCCCCGTGCGACTTGGCTGGGAGCTCTCTCCCCGCATCGGGCTACGCCGAGCTGTGCCTTCGCCTGCCCCACAGTCCGGAGCCCAGCGCTGAGCAGGCGGCGGGGGCAGAAGAGGTGAGCTATGAAGCGGAGGAGGAGCGTGCTGGGATCTGATGGAGTCACCGGAGCGGAGATCGGGGAGAAAAGGCAGCCGGGCAGCGAGCCGGAGCTGGCCTGGATGTCGCAGAGGAGAAGGCTCCTCTATCCCTGCAGGCTGCCAAGGACAGGAGCCCGGCCCGCTGGCTGAGCTGTCCCTCTCTCGCACAGCCAGGGACCAGGGCAGGGGGAGGGCAGCCTGACACGTTGCAGCAGCAGAATCCGGCCCCATTGCGGAGCTCTGGCCAGGGACACGCAGGGGGCTCTCGGCCCATCTCCAGCTGGAGCCCAGCGTCCAGGTCTGCATCCTGGAGAAGCTGCACTCTCTGCCTTGGGGGGGTGGGGGCTGCTAACAAAACCACGGGGACCACGGCACACAGACCACCTCAGCCGCAGCCCCACTGAGCACAGCTCCCTAGAGCTCCA